TGCTTCTCAAACACATTTAATTCAGTCAAAATAGAGATGATCAGTATTTAAATTATGGCAGGTGGGCTGCTGGGAAAATGCAGACTTTGTTCATTGTTCATTCATATATATTTCTATATTTATAAGTACTTTATTTTTATTTTCCTAATGCTCATTCCTTTATCTTGTTTGCACACTCTTTTTCTTTTTTGATGCTTTATGGAAGAATGTTGCACATAAACATCGAGAGCCACTGTGCCAGAGTCAAATTCCTCGTGTGTCCAACACACCTGGCTGATAAAGCAGATTCTGATTGTAAAGTCATATTTAAAATTAATAGATTGCTGTTCCATTATCTTTAATAATCGGTCTTTTTTTTTTTATCTCACTCATCTCACCCATATTTGTCTCGGGCTCTCCACCAGTTCGTGTCCGACATCTCGAGGATGGTGTACTGCTCATCCTTTATCAGCTCCAAGTCTTGGGCTGTCATTGGTTTGTAGTTATACTCAGCTATGACAGCCATGCCTACAGAGGGGCCAGATGACTCAGGAGGCTGTGGAGGTAAAGGCCAGATAGTCTTCTCAACAACATATGATTAGTGGATGTATTATAGGACAAAAAGATCTGTCTGTAGCTGGTGAATATTCATCTACTGGGTGTGTACCTCTGGCGGAGTAGGAGGGAGAGGTCACCTGGATTGCCTTCGCCAAGATTGTTTGGATGAAAAGCCTATTAAATACATTATTTAATATATAAATTAATTAATATAAAAGTTTCATATTTGATTGTTGTAGATTTCAAGCCTAATTTGTTCTCACCATTTTTACCATCCAGGACCTTGCAGCCCATAGCTTGTTTAACTTCCTGCTGGCAGCACAACCACAACCCATCGGCCCAGAAACAAGGATGGTACTTCTGCATCAGATCCTTGTTGAAGCTCACCACTATGCACAAATATGAAAACACACAGAACATTTATATTAAATCAATTTGCATTTGTGCAGGAACACAGCTATTATGTTGCACAGACACTGGGGGATATTATGGTCTAATACTGCACATATGAAAAACTGACTGACACGACAATAAACAACCATAAATCTGTATGTAGACTTACTTTCCTTTAGCTTCTTTATCCACTGAGCCCGGACATCCTCATTCTTTGCAAAGATGTACAACGGCCCTTCATCATAAATGATCTGTGGCAAAAAGGAAAAAGAAAATACATAAGTTAGAAGATGCATGTGATATCTCTTGTTCACAGTATTGCATAATATATTATAAGTGTGACAAATGTATTTACTGCTGTTAACACATCCGGTTACATGAGCTTTCTCTAATGACTATTACCGACCAAACATATTTTGCACCTGGCTGGTTTAATGTGTCTAGTGGCAACACCTGCATGATCACTGAAAGCCCCTAGTTCATTTGAGTGTGAAAGATGGTTTCACTTCTTAACGGTGGACTTTCATATTATTAACTTTTGGAGAGTTTGAGTCTGCCAAGCAGAAAACTAAATTCTCATGCTACAAGCCTCTGATGTGATGCTTCTTGCAGCTTCTGCATAGTTTTTGACAGTTGAGAGAGTTAGGGAGTAGTGAACTACAAGTAATTAAACTAGTAGTTTAACTACAATCTGCAGTAACTTGCTGGTAGTTGAACTCAGCTTTTCAGCATTGCCAAGAACATTTTAGGTGCCTGCTGGATAATGAGACGCTGCTCATGTGTCATATAAACAAGAGATTCTGCTCAGACGGGTAAAAACATGGGCATGGGCCCTTTATTTGGACCAGTGATCAAGTTGTTCATACTGTCTAAAAAGGTACAAGTTGAAGACAAGTCAGATTGTACAAAAGTGACAAGCAAGAAAACAGGCCCTGGTCAAACCATCTAAAAATGTGCAAGCTAAATATTTTTCTCCTTACTGATTGTGTTGTAGTCAGATAATAAAAATTCCAGATTAGTTTAAAACAAAAATATAACATTCCTTGCATTGTTGTTCTTGTGAAAAGCCCAGATGGGATTGTTTTTTATAGGACATGTTAAGCGCTTAGGTAATAAACTCAGTTATTTCCTGGTATGTGACTTTAATTTATTATAGTTTGTTATAATTTTGTATCACATGTACATTGTCAATTTTATTTATTTGACCAAGCTAAATTTGTCTTTTTGCTGTAGTTCAACTACTTCCAGTGTGAAGTAATTGATGGCTTGCAAAGCATGGCTTTCAAAGTTGCTTCCCCAACACTAACTTTTGACAATGTGACAGAAAACAGGAAACACAGTTGCTTTACGTTATTACTCCACAGCTGCCTAAACTGATATTATGGTGGATTTTTTGTTTATTTGCATTGCTGCAGGTTTGTCTGTATTTATCATGATTGTCACAAAGAGGCTCTCAATGTTAAACAAGTTTAAAAAAATGTCTACCTGGAATGCATACATGCGCTCTCGTGGGGTGTTGGGCTCTGGCTGGACCGTCTCTACACACTTGATCTTCTCTAGGTCAACCGATCCTCTCAAACCTTTTCGCTTCTGCTCAGCAGATGAGGAAACAGTCGGGTTACTCCGAGGATAAAGAGACACATGTAGCTGCACGGTCATTTGAGGTTGTGATGCTTTTTCAATAAATGATTTTGCATAGCCCCAAATACGTACTTTTTTGTCAGGATCAAAATCATAGTAGGCTATTTTTTCCTGGGTGAGAACAAACCATCTCTCCTTATAGTTCAAAGGGGATGTTTTCTTCTTCTGCTGAGATCGTTTAATAAAGATTTCTTCCAGTATATTTTCTGACATGATTCACTCAGAATTGATCTGCATGGAACAAAGAGCAATGAATAGTTTTGCAAATGACAACATTTCACAATTGGTTATTCAGTGTTCTTGTTTCCTTTGAAAGGTTTTACAAGTATATTAGTAGAAGTGAGGTAAGTACCCAACCACTTGTCTCAGTCAGAGCAACACCACTATGACTTGCAAGACTACAGATCTGAAAAGGGATGAAGAGATATGCTGCATGAATGTGAGCATGTATCAGTGTGTGATTAGGTGTAGTTTGCATAAGCCCTGCTTTTCATGCCAGCAACATTCTCTGTTTCCAAAAGTTCCTCCTGTGGCATATTTGTTTCTCAGCTCTTATATCCTGGTCATCACCATGGTGTCCCCAATGTACTTTTTGTACTGTGAAGCCTGTAATAGACTGGTGACCTATCCAGGGTGTACCCTGCCTCTTGCCCAATGTCAGCTGGGATTGGCTCTAGCATCCCTGTGACCCTCTTCAGGAATAAGCAATATAGATAATGAATGAATGGATGGATGGATGGATGTCCTGTGAAGAAATATTAGATCAAAGTATCTACCTAATCCATGACCTAAGATGAATTCCTTTTATGATGGGTTAGCATTATTCCTCCACTATATAGATTTAACATTTACTATGAAACAGACAGATAACATCAGCTTTAGTTGCAACAGACTGATGCAGGCCTACACGCAAATGTATTTCCATCAAGCAAAAGTTCCGCTTAGATGTCAAACCTATGTTCTCAAGACATACACTGAAAACAACAACAACAAAAGTACACAATGCCGCAAAAAGTAGGAAGTCATAGTGTCATATTACCAGGTCTAATATGAACTGTCAGAAGGGAAACACAGTTGCTTTACTCACCCTTTCACACAGTTGAATGCTCACTGTCTGTGTTAAATGTGTTCACACTGTAGCTCAGCCTATTTTCAGCTTGTGAGCACTTCCTTCTATCATCTGAGCTGTAACACTGTCAGAAGCGTCTGTCACTCCCTGCTAACCAGGACTGCGACATTTCTTCACATAGCATGACAGTACCTGTTGGTACTGTATTGTCATAAACAGGCAGCTATGTTCCCTATTCTGTGAAACATTGTTTACTCATTCCTCATTTGTTGCAGTCCAGGGGTTTTTCACATCACTAACTTGAAATGAGGTCAACAAACTCTGATGGTCATTATGTACTATCCTGCTCTTTCATTCTAATATATTGGAACCACTTCACTGAAACTATATTCTATATTGCTTTATACTACAGCCAAAAGGAGATTTTCTTTTTTCTTTTTTAAAGATGTTGACTCACAGTGGCTGACTTGGACAAACTGATAAGGAAGTTGCATCAGTGTTGTGCTTCGTATGAAGGGAGAAGAAAACCAGAGCCTGATATGTATCTCTCTCTCAAATGTGTTTGTCTGTCTTTAGTGCGTTTAAAAAGAGTGCTACATATCTCTGATGTGTAATGTTACACGTCTCTTTAACATTTACAACTCTTCACAGTAACTCTCATTTTAGATTTTGCATAATTCACCTCTGTTTCTACACAACACAAAACTTCAATGCTTTGCACAAAGAAGTTTGTTTTTCACTTTCTAATGCATGTCCCTGGAGTTGTTTGTATGTTTTGGGTTGTGAAAGTCTATTTGCTATATACAGTGGTTGAAAGTAACTAAGTACATTTACTCAATTATTGTACTTGAGTATAATATTGAGGTACCTGTAATTTACTTGAGTACTTTCATTCTTGTTATTTCATATTTTGACATCACTACATTTCAGAGGCCAATACTGTACTTTCTGCTCCACTACATTTATTTTATAGCTAATCAGATTAACTATACAAAATACTGTACAGTACTTTGTTGATACCTGGTGGGAAATTCACAAGCTGCCCATCATAAATTCAAATTACAAGCATATAAGAAAGTTAAAATTAGCTCTACCTTTACCAGCTGCAACAGCCGTACACAATAATGTATTAATAAATATAATGCAATGATATGATATACCTTAACTTTGCATAATGAGTACTTTTGTAATACTTTTGTACTTTTACTTAAGTATCATTTTGAATGAAACACTTCAACTTGTAACATATATATATTTATATATATATCTGAGATCTCTGTCCAGAAGAGTGCAGTCCTAGGAACAGCTAAGATACTGCGCAGGACCCTTCTACTGATATAACCAGTTTAATCTAGAATCATCTAATCATAAAAAAATATGTTTATAGAGACAAAACAACCAGGCACAAGGACAGTTTCTTCCCCTGGGCCATCACTCTGATGAACACTTGACCCACGACTGTATGTCTGGACAATAACCCTCGGTGCAATACCTGTAAATATACCTCGTACAGATTATACAGATCGGTACAGGTCTCTGTTTTTAAGTACTCTATTTTTATTCCTATTTATCTCATTTCAATGAGCATTCCTTTGTCTGTCTGCATTGTTTACTGCCTGTTTATACTGTTTATTTAGCATTGTTTGCACTGTTGGTTGCTTGTTAATACTGTTTATTTTGTTATACTACACAGCCTTATGTTGGTTTACTCTTTACTTGCCCCTTGCTGTTGCCTTGCATGGGGCACATTGAGAGCCGATGTAACCGGAGTCAAATTCATTGTGTGTCTGACACACCTGGCCAGTAAAGTAGATTCTGATTCTGATTTCTGACTAGGGTGGATGTCAACCTGTAAATATCGTGAACTGTCACAATGTACATAAATGCCTTGTGTATATCGACATGCTTTTAAATGATAGAACTCCATATTAATAGGTCCCAAAGACTAATGAACATGCTTTAGGATAGAATGCAGTTATGCATTTCATTGTATGAGGTTTCTTTAGATGACACAGCAAATACAACCATATCGTTAAAAAACTGGCTGAAAAGGATCCTGTCAAGATGCTCTCTTTCCTAATGTTTTCCTGGCAGATATGTCATTCATGCACAAATTGTGTGTATGTGTGTGCAAGAGAGACAGTGAGAGAATATTCTGTGCAAGTCGCATGAGTTAAATCGAACCAAAAAGGATGGTCACCCTATATGTGAGGATACCACATCAATTTAACACTGTGGTCATCTGCAGAGGTCAGTCATCAAACACACAAATAGGATTAAGATTTCCAGTGCTGCAAAAAAAAGCAAATTTTTATAATGTATAAAACTGCTCACTAATTCAGAACAAAGGTAACCACATGAAACTACCACGTAATTATAACCCTCCCATATATTTAAACAACTCTAATGCTGGAAGATGTATATAAAGATAAAAAAAAACATGCAACACATTCATTAGAGCAAAGGACAGCAGAATAAACCATGGTACATCACTGAGAACAAAACATTCTGAAACAAGTATAACATCTTTGCATTTTTATAATTTGACTTAAGTACTTGTATTTTTGTGATGAGGACACACATAATTCAGAATTTCATACTAATTGACAGTGGTGTGTTTCACTCCCAAAGGTTTTCTATCATTTATACTTCTGTTAAAAAAAAGATTAAAATACTTCACGACCTTATAGCCTACATTCAAAGAGCTTTGCGACTTACCAAGACACCCAAAAAAGTCAAGCATCAGACCGAAAACTACAGATGCTGAGGCCTGGAGCAATAGCATTAACTTTTCCCTTAGTTGTCCGCCTTTCATAAAATGTATGTTCATGTGTGATGCAAGAAGCTTAAAACCACCCACAGACAGGAATGGACTCTACTTACTTCCCTTTTTTCTTCCTGCTCATTTTCATATCAGCTCTGTGGACAGTTTTGGTGATAAGTCAGGCGGGCTAAACATTAACACAGGACCTTGTTCTGGAATGACTCTTATACTTTTACTTGTGGGGATTTATTATTCTGTCAACTGACTATTTGACTATTGTCAAGAGATAATTAATCTTAAAGCTAATAATTTATACAGGCATTACAAAGTGTAGCTCTTCGGTGCCTTACTTGTAGTTTTATGCCCTGACGCTAGGGGGCAGGCTGTAGGTTTGCAGCCTGTTTATTGCTGAAGTCAACTTTAAGAACAGCTTCCGGTTTCTGTCTTCCTCTTTTGCTCTGCAACGGGTCGCAAAGATGGTAGGAAATCACTACACGAATATGTTTCACACAATCAAGCTCAATCCTACAGAGTACAGCATCATTTCTGCAACTACTTACCTCAGACTTGTTAATAGTTTCTTGATACACACATAGGTGGTGGTATTTGTTTTATGATACTTATCTTATGCTGTTTTAATGATTGAACTCCCATCCCTGGTATTCTGTTACGAAGCGCCGTTGCTAGACGTGGTATCACCCGTACATGGCTTAGCATTAAGGGAAATTTAGTTCAGGTATTTGTCCACGTTAATCGTGACAAACAACAGCCTAGTAGCGTGATAATCTGTTACTGCGGTAAATGTTTACGTCTGTTTGGCACTAAAAGATTGGTGCTATGCTAACGGGTTAGCATGTGCTAACATACGATACCCGTAGTCTGACCCGTAGTGGTAGGTAGGTAGGTACTTTATTGATCCCTCAGTGGGGAAATTTCAGTGTTTCAGCAGCAATGGAGAACAAACAACATAACACCATAAGAAACAAACTCCACACACATCTTGATAAACAAATTTCAGTACCTCAAGCAGCAATAGAGAACAGACAGCAAAACACACATCCTGATAAATAAATTCCAAGTAGACAGAATCAAGTATTTGAATAATCAAGAGCAGAATTTACATATGTGCATATTAACCATGCCTTTTACCCCAGGATTTGAGTATTGCACCTCAGTTGACTATTACATAGTCCCTCATACTTTCACCTATCCCTGCAGTGATGTGTTGTACAGTCTGATTGCTGTGGGGAGGAATGACCTACGATAACGCTCCTTACACTGAGGATGTAACAGTCTTGCACTAAAGGAACTGTTCAGAGCCTCTACTGTGTGGTGCAGGGGATGGGAGGGGTTGTGCATGATGGATGTTAGTTTTACCAGCATCCTTCTGTCCACCACCTCCTCGATGGAATCCAGGGGGCAGCCCAGGACAGACCCAGCTCTCCTGACCAGCTTGTTTAGTCTCTTTCTGTCCCTGTCCGTGCTGCCTCCCGCGCAGCCCACAACAGCGTAAAAAACAGCAGATGCCACTACGGTATCATAAAAAGTCTGAAGGAGTGCCCCACACACCAAAGGCGGTGTGGAGGCGGCTCTGGCCCTTCTTGTACAGGGCAGCAGTGTTTTGTTGTTGAGGTGGACCCCAAGGTATTTAAAGGTGTCCACAGTCTCAATGACTGAGCCCTGAAAGCTCACTGGAGTGAGTGCTGGTGATTTCCGCTGGGGATCAGTCACCACCTCTTTAGTCTTACTGGTGTTCAGGACTAGTGTGTCCATTAATGACAGGTTTCTGATTATTATGAGGTGATGTCTATACTTTATATTAGAAGGTTTTTCACATAAAGACTCGCTACAGGAAGGTGTAAACTAAGCGGTGGGTAGTTAGACTAATTTCGACAGCATTGTATGTTTGAATGGCTGCATTTGAAATACCTAATTCTTTCAGGTTTATTGCATGTTTCCTCACATTTATTCTCCATATTGTTAAGGTGAACGTCCCGAAGACCCGCAGAACCTTCTGCAAGAAGTGTAAGAAGCACCAGCTCCACAAAGTCACCCAGTACAAGAAGGGAAAGGATTCCCTCTATGCACAGGGTAATTAGTCTTTTACTGACATTAAGTGGCATATCTCTGCATGTTAAATGAGTTGTATCATGAAATGTAGCTGAGCTGTAAATGTTGTGCAGGTAAGAGAAGATATGACAGAAAGCAGAGTGGGTACGGTGGTCAAACGAAGCCCATTTTCCGTAAAAAGGTAAGCTCACCCTTTTAATGTTGTTTTATCTGACTTATCAAGTAGAGCTAGAAAGGAATATAAATATGCACTATACAAATAAAATAGAAATATGTTTCTCAAATGTTTATGATTTTGCTTTAGTATAATGTTAATCTGCATGTTTTGTGATTTTAAATGTTGGTTGGACAAAACCTTACACTTGAGGACAACATCACTCCGAGAAACTGAAATGGGCATAATTTGTGACATTTTACAGTTAATTACAGTTTATAGTTAATGAAGAAAATGTTAATAAATGCTGAAAATAATCATTTGTTGCAGCCAGAACATCGGGTATTGCAACAGTGTGTGTGAAATCAGACTGAATGATATGTTATTTTTCCAGGCTAAGACTACAAAGAAAATTGTGTTGAGGCTTGAGTGTGTGGAGCCCAACTGCAGATCCAAGAGAATGCTGGCCATCAAGAGATGCAAGCACTTCGAGTTGGGTGGTGACAAGAAGAGAAAGGTAGGCGTCATTTCTGTCATGTGAACTTGGTAGCAGTGTCTGCATACCTCTGGTCAAAGTCAGTGCAGTCTGTCTGTCATTTATGTCATGTGTACTTAGTAGCAGTGTCTGCATGCCTCTGGTCAAAGTCAGTGCAGTCTGTCAGTAAACATCCTAAACCTCTTTTGGCAGCAGAATGTGCTCTGCCTGTGGATGCACAGGTGGCTCATTTCAACATATTTTCTGTAATTATCATGTAATCTGATAATTTACTATATCCAATAAAATCATCTTGCCTGGAACCTCCACAAATGGTTAGTCATATTTTGACTGTTAACTGAAACTGGTATGTGGAATAGACATTAAAAAAAAAAGCTCACTTTGATGAAATTTGGTTCTGCTGCTGCTGCTGCTACAAAATGACCCACCTAATGTAGTCTGTTAGGTTATCATGTGCTGAACTGAACGGCAACACGATAAGTATCTGGTGTGATAAAGTGCACCAGATACACCATAATTATGTGGAGTCTTTGTTGCCAGTTTACAGTTATTTGTTGCCCGGTTGGCTTATAATCATATCCTTTTATATGTCAACTACACAGTTTTTATGGTTTTAATACATCTCCAGAGGGCATGTAAGGAACGAAAACATAGTTGAAGAAATGGAGAGACATGAGTATAAGAGATTTAATATTGTGCCCTTGTGCTACGCTGACAAGAGCAGGTGTTCGGAGTGTATCGTCAAACAAAACACTACAGAGATGGGTTCAAAGATGTCTGAGAATGACGGTCCTTATGCAAGATTTCATAAAAGTTCTAACTTGGTTTTAACCAGAGCAAAGTAGCAAAGGGTTCTAGACAGACTGTCTGTTTGTGACATTCTGTGAATTGCATTCATTTTGATTTTAATTGTATTCATGTCAGGAGAAAAAATAGAATGGTCAGAAAGGTGAATTTTTTTTATTCTCCCCTAAGAAGCATGTGGTGCTGTATTGTTCTGCATAATACAGTGATGCACATGCTTCTCACATGGGGAGACAATGAAAAAAAATCAAGAATCATTGAAAAGATATGAATCTGAACTCTGTCATAGAAGACAAAGAGCTAACAGCTTGTTTCATTAAAGTGTGATATCATGAATATAATCTTGTAGTGGAACATGCTCTTTGACTCTAGGTGTTTTGTAATAGGATGAATGTACTGTTTTAACACTAGTCTTTGTCTAATTATTTTTTCTCTCAGTTCCTGTGTTACACAAGATGCAACTCTGCTTGACTTTGCTTTTGATATAGGGTTAATAAGCCAACAAATGTTAAGCAAACCTATTAATACAAGGTTATACATAACTCTGCTTGAGTATGATTTAAACTAGTTTCTGTCTGTTCTCTTACAGGGCCAGGTCATCCAGTTCTAAACTGTGGCCCATTCTTCTGGGTCAAGTTAACATTTTCAATAAATGTTTGAAACCATCCTTTGGAGTTTGGTGCTTCCTTCACCTGTGTGTAACTATACTTGTCTTAATATCTGTTATCAGTCTGAACAGTTCACAGTAAACGTGCATAATTTTTCAGTGATTTATTAAATATGATTAAAAATAGGTGTAGCATAAGCAACCCGTCTGGACAGATTTTAAGATCAAGTTTTCCACTTTTAAAAAAATCAAAAGTGCAGACATAAAAATTGTAAACCACTTGAAGATTACAAAATAGTGTGCCTGGGTTTGACTGCCATTTCCAGCCTGTGCAGTCTCTTAAAGGCACTGGTGACGGGGGTGACGGTCAGCAGAGCGGTGCCTGAAGGGTTGACAGATACAACCAGTTTGCTCTGTGGATTGTGAACTCCCATCTCCTTGTACTGAGGCAGGATCTGTGTAACGTTACATTGAGGGTTACAGATCTTCCAGCCAGGAACTGCTCTGATGGCAAACCCTCGGGGGCCACCAAGCTCCTGTTTGTTCAGCAGAGCAATGGCCAGCCGGTTCTTAGACAGAGGCCTCTCCCACACTTCAAAACTGTCCACCTGAAGAAAAAGTAATATTTTACCAACAGATTGTACAATACCTATACCTGAATTGACATGACCACTTTGATTACAAGTTAATTACAGTTATTGCTTGTAAGTCTTTGTTTTGTGACCACTAGACCCTCCACAGATGACAACAGGGAATTGAGCATTTTTAAATAACTCGTACCATAAATGTTGACAGCTGTCATTCTAGGAGGGGAACATGCTTGTTGTCACCTGTCACACCTACCTTGGCAGTGAGGAACCCCTGTTTGCCCAGTGGGTCCTGGTTGATGTCTATGATGCGTTGGTTCTGCAGCAGCTCCTTGGAGCGGGGACAGATGTCCCTCAGATCATTAGACATGAGCAGAGGGGCTGCCATGATGGCCCATAATGCCATCTGAGACTCCTGCTGTGTGTGGCTCAGACCGAAATTCCCAATTAAAAGCTAGATGTTACAAATATGTAAAGGTAAGTCAGTCTTAGTGACAGTGCATCAGGCACTTGTTACCAAGAAACATGGTCTTTTTTTATACACAATGTATATAAATACATCTGAGTCCATTTATGGGATGTTCATTGTACTGACGGTAAAGTTTTAACAATTTCAACTCCATGCTATCTAAAAAAGGATGTAATTACAAGAGTCACAAGATGCAGGGAATATTAAAGCAATAGTTGATATTTTGGTAAATAGGTACATTTGCTCTTGTTGCAGGTCAGATGACATTTTCTATGCCATAGATTGATGTATGGTTGATAGCAGATTTAAAGCATCAAGACCGGAACAGAAACAGCTAGCCTAGCTCTGTCAAATGTAACAGAATCCACCTACTACTACTTTATTCACACTTTTCATCGTAGTTTAAAAGTTTAGTTTATCCATAAAATCTGAAAAGTTATACATTGTAGTTTTACAGTAGAGCAGAATACCATATCGGGGTCATTCCAGCCTCCAGGTCCAGCTGAGGATACGATGATGTCTTGATGAGAGGCAGTCCATTCCAAGATGGACTTGATAGAACTCCAGGAGTCATACACGTCGCCAAAGTTGCGCCAGTGGTTACATGTCTCACGAATGGCTGTGTAGTTAGGCTGGAGGCACAGAAATGCTCCTATGTAGTGCAAGGTGTACAGCCTCATCAGGCAGTGGGCAATCACTAATAAGAATGAATAATTTACAATCTTCACATACCTGTCTGTAAGGCCACTCATACAAAGGCCACTCACAGGAGTACAGGATACTTCTTCCTGTTTTGTTCAGTGCTTTTGACATTTCTATGTAGCCTTAACCAGAAGAAATATTAGGCAGTTAGATTAAGCTCAATAGAACACCTTGAATCCATGGAGTTCTGAGTAACTGAAAAAATGGCACACAGTGTTAATAAAGATGTAAATTTAAAGTGCAAAAATATATTTCCAAGATCATTTGCATGTACAGTGCCTTGCGAAAGTATTCAGCCCCCTTGAACTTTGCGACCTTTTGCCACATTTCAGGCTTCAAACATAAAGATATAAAACTGTAATTTTTTGTGAAGAATCAACAACAAGTGGGACACAATCATGAAGTGGAACGAAATTTATTGGATATTTCAAACTTTTTTAACAAATAAAAAACTGAAAAACTGGGCGTGCAAAATTATTCAGCCCCCTTAAGTTAATACTTGGTAGCGCCACCTTTTGCTGCGATTACAGCTGTAAGTCGCTTGGGGTATGTCTCTATCAGTTTTGCACATCGAGAGACTGAAATTTTTGCCCATGCCTCCTTGCAAAACAGCTCGAGCTCAGTGAGATTGGATGGAGAGCGTTTGTGAACAGCAGTTGTCAGTTCTTTCCACAGATTCTCGATTGGATTCAGGTCTGGACTTTGACTTGGCCATTCTAACACCTGGATATGTTTATTTGTGAACCATTCCATTGTAGATTTTGCTTTATGTTTTGGATCATTGTCTTGTTGGAAGACAAATCTCCATCCCAGTCTCAGGTCTTTTGCAGACTCCATTTGCTTACAGTGAACTATGTAGCAGTAATGAGACTAAGCTAACTACTTATGTCAAGACTGACAGCACAGTGTTGGAATAATTATAAATTCAAATTCTGAATTAAACAGTCACCTGATCCCAACAAAGTCCAGTTCATGTTGCAGCCATCAAATTTCAGCAGATCCACACCCCAGTCAGCAAATGTCTGAGCATCTATCTCATAGTAACCCCGACTCGCAGGATAACCAGCACAGGTCTTGTCCCCAACATCTGAATAGATACCCAACTTCAGCCCCTTAGAATGGACCTAAAAATAAATGTATTTATAATTCATTTATCCAGTTTACAACCAGTAGTTATTTTCTGAGCTGGTAATAGATCTGCAGGTGGCGATGTTGCACATCTAAAAATATTCCTTTCACGGTGAATATCACTTTAGGTTCCTGTGTAGGAATCAGCCTGTCATAGTGGTCTCCAACTCAGAGCACTCCTCTCCACTGCAACACCCCATAGCAAAGAGAGTGAAGGACAGCATGTTTGAGACAATATATGCCCAAGTATCTCCCCTGGCTCCAGGTGATGAAGTTCTACCATTATGAAAGGCCAGGGTTACACATCTGGTCTTTTCCCCTTCAATATGTAAATAAATCTTTTCTCTTAACTCTATCCACTCACCCTGACCGGTTAAGGCAGTGCGGCTGCTCACCAAGAGCCAGGGTCTGTTGGAGGTAAAAAACTCCCTTTAAAGAAAGATCTTTAAAGGGAGTTTTTCCTCTCCTCTGTTGCAAAGTGCTTGCTGATTTATCTCCTTCCACTTAGTGAAATAACTGAGTTTAAAAGTATTTCTCACTTTCCTAAAGTCTCGCTGAATCCCCCTCTCTTTGATGGAGGCATTATGGCATTGATACTTACATTCAGTCTTCAAACCTCTTTTATACTTGCTACTCACATAGTCGGCCAGTTTCTTAATGCCCCCTGGAAATCGTTTGGGGTCTGCCTGCAGGCGGCCTTGGGCATCACGCTGATGGGAGGGCCAGCAGTCATCAATGCAGACGTATTCATAACCAGCCTCTTTCCAACCCTCCTTCACCATCACATCTGCCATCTGCATGTACAAGCGCTCACTGCCAGGGCAACAGGAGGAGACAGACGGCACCAGTGTTCAATGTCACATGCACAACCACTATGGCAGACACAAATTTGTACCCACTAAAGGGATTTTCTTTTGCTTTTGATCATTTTTGAGTAATTTAACATAAAGACAATTCAACCAACAGGCTTTGATTTGGTTCTCTCAGTGCTTTGCTGGCCAGGTCTTCTTGAGATAATTGCTGTCTATGGGAAGTGGGGCATTTTATGTTTGTCATTAATCAGCACTGAGGTCCCTAAGAAAAAAAAAGCTTGAAAGAAGGAGGCTTGACCAACTTGACTGATAATGAAAATATGTGTTAGTTGCTTCCCCAGTGTAATTTCTCTTTATCTGTGTTTCTCTTTGATTTTTCTCCTTTAAGAACTTTGTCACATACTATATGGTTTTTGTCTTTTTTTTCCACAGTGAATCCCATCTGTCCCTGTAAATTGCTTTATTACCTTACATTTGTTCAGCTCTTCTGGAAATTTGATCAGGCTCTAAGTTTCTTGTTATGAAAATGCTTTAGGAAGGTTATTACATTACCCACTGACATCAATATCTTAAAATGCCTCAGACCAGAGAAGCAATAAAGGAAAATTAAATCAAGCAGGGCCGTTATTGTCTTGGGCGGCATGGTGGAACAGTGGTTAGCACTGATTCTCGTTCTCGCCCCGGCCGACCAGATGCCTTTCTATCTCCATGTGCCTGCGTGGGTTTACTCCGGTGTCCTCCCACAGTCCGGGAGCACCCGGAAGTAGCGGAAGACGTGCCATTGTTGTCCTGCCTGACACAGCTGTCACGTGTTTCTGTGCTCACAGGTTATTATGGTCTTATAGAGACGATAACTGAAATGATAATTACATGGGAAATGTCATAAGTATTTGTGTATGACTACGTTTGTTTTGTTTTTACATTATTTTGTGAATCCAGCGTGCCTCCATAGCCTGAAAACGACAGTCGCGTTACTTCCTGTGGACCTGTCCAGGTCAAATCATTTTTTAGGTGATTTTAAGACAACTTACCTCTCCGGGTACACCAAAATATTAGCGTTGTGTAATTTATATTAATGGGAGTGTTTTCCTTGTGTTTGTATCGGACTGCACTGTATGACCACCACCTGACGGCTCTTACCTGATGCAGTTATCGGGGTCCATGTCACAGTCAGTGTTACACAGGAACCTCTCCCAGTGCAGCCAGCCCATGGTGGGTTTCAGCGCCAGACCATTGTCTAAAGCTTCAGCAGCGAGGCTGAATAAACTCACAACAATAAGGAGTAGCATAGCTCTGCACATTGTCACATTCAATCAACGTATCTCCAACATACAGTGACAACAAGCGACTGTAAGTGTTTGACTTGATTCCTCCTTTAAAACGCGTTCAGCCCGCCCCCGGGATGATTGACATAAACATGGACCAGTAAATTCAAAGTGCGTCTAAAACTGCCTAATGGCCCATATTACCATTGTATAAACTAACTCACTGTTACAGTCATGTGAATGACCATGTGACAAGGTAATAATGTCTTGTGATTTCCCTGCATACTGAAACAACAAAAAGCAACAGCAAAAATGCCAGTGATATTCATAGGCTACGTATTCTGGTCTACTGTTAGCGAAACTGGGGTGTTTAATGTAATTAAAAACAACAAAATTAAATTTATTTTGTGACAAAATTAACATAACATACTGTAAGGCAGGCTACTTTTTAGACCTAGGTCTGGATTAACCTGCCCTGACAAAAAATGAGCAGCTGGACAGGTTGCTGGACCATCACAGGCCTGACACCTAGAGACAGACAGTATTTATAAATATATGTACATATATCTACATTATGGTAGAAGAGCTTTCATCTTGATGTATGCAGTGGTTATATTTACAGTTTATTGCACTGTGCTGTCCAGTCATATAGTCATGGATTAACTGTTCATCAGAGTGATGGCATGGGGGAAGAAACTATCCTTGTGTCTGGTGACAATCTAAGTGAAAAACTTGAGCAGACATCACTGATATGTGTTTGTATTGCTTTGCAACAGACACTACGAATGAAAGAAAATGGCCCAATTTACCCCACTGTTCCCTGAGGAGGCTGTCTAATCCAAAATGCCACACACGCTATCCGCAATAATGTAAGACTATATATATATTGACGGTGCTTCAAGCTGTTTATTAGCTCCGGATTCAAGACACTAATTTGTCTGGCACAGAACTTAAATGAATTACAGATAGATTTCTTAATGCAGTTGAACACAGATACCCTGCTACAGAATTAATCCTGGATTGTTTTCATTGTGAAAATGTCAGAGACCTTCTTACACATGCAAAGAGTGATATGCTCTTTTGTAAGAATTTAAAGAGACACTAGCAAATTGTTCACTAGCTAATTAGATCCGCTATTTGAGAGTTTGTACAGAGGTTTAATGAGCTGAAACTTCACAGAGGTGACACTATAAATCACCCTGTGATATTGCTCCTGACATTCCTTGTGATCTGATACTGTGACGAGTCAAAACAAGTGTGGCAGCATTCATGAGTTGGCTCCACCCCAGATTATGACAGTAATTCTCATCTCCACTGCTGGCTGTATGTATAAAGGGAGCATTAATAAACACAAAACCTGACCTTTCAGTGAAATGTCAAGGGTGCCTATTTCAATCCTAAACATTATCAGAGGCTTCACCCAGGGACAGGCCTCATATAAACAATTTGTCATTTGCTATAGTTCATATCACTACCAGAGAGCAAAGGGACCGAGGTTCTAAATGTCAGATTTCAATTTGACTCACCCTCCTGCTGATGGATGTACCAATCCACTTTTCTTGAATACACAGTTTTCTCTTCATCTGGATAGAGATTCTTGTTTGTTGTTTTTTTTCCCACAGAGCTACATAAAAGAGCAGTCAACATGCTCTGTGTACAGTGGTTAATTGAGATTGTTGACAGATGGGAAGCCCGTGCTTTCTGTCTGGTTTATATGGCTCCCCAGAGCTGTGACACAAATCTATCATGTTCCTTTCTTCACCACTGTCACATAATTGAGGAGACTGTCATGGCTGACTTATATTGGCAACTTTGCTATGAGGTGTATAGGGATAAAATGAAAGTGAAAGCTGTGTTATATTGTGCCTTCTTGCCAAGGAGGTTTTATTACTGTATTGATCTAAAGGGCCAGGTAGCAGCACAAGCAAATGTCATCAAGAAGTTGTGCATCTATAAATACAACAACTAACACTATATGGCTCATATACCCTCAGTGGAAAATCATTTATTGTTGTGTAATTAGCTGCTTAAGTTGTTTATGAGACTGCCACAGGGGAAGGAGCCTACATGTGCTGATGCTGCCACTTTAATTAGGTTCTTGTTGAACTGAGTGTGTCTGAAATGGCTTTTGGTAATAACCTTTAGAGGCGTCGCATGACCTGTAAATTACTCTGTTTATTGATGATATTTTTCAGTTATGTTTTTTCATTTAACAATTCTCTAAAATTCAAATATCTGTGTGTACTTTGCTAATGAATTAGAGATTAATTTAAGGTTTAAATTCCCTGTTTAATGATCAAGTGGTTTATTTTGATTTTCAGTGTTTTCTTCAGGCCATTTTCATACTCGGTAGGTTTAATCCTGACTGAGGGCATAAGTCAGGTGGGTTTAGCAGGGCGGGACACTAACAGATTGTTTAGTAACATGTTACAGAAATGTGATTACTGTTTCCAGTAAGAAGTAGTTTAATGATTTACAATCACTGTTACTAATCCCAGTAAGAATCGCTTGTTTTGACATCTGGGGGTCGGCTTGTTTTTTTCTCTTACTGGGAGTTTGATTTGAGAAATAACAAGTAGTTGTCTTATTTAAACTTTGTGTGTACTTAGCTGGCTTTTTAATGGTAGCCACAGGTAAGCAAATATCCAGGAGCCACATTTTTTGGGTGGCAGGGTGGGGTATGTTGGAACTTCTAGAGAGCTGTGTGCAGTCACAGAGGCTAAGGTAAATACTGGATGGTCAATAAATCCCTCCAAAATGTGGTTCAACCTATATGATAACTATCTTGTTGTCTTCTACCAAAGAGGTGATGTGTGGGTGTGGAGGATTTGGTAGTGGAGATAGAAGTACTCAGATCCTCTATTTAATTAAAAGTATTTCCCACCAGGGATCAGTAATGATGATGTGGTTCTGTTGGTTTCATCAGACCATGACCTCCAGCATGCACTGGGGCAGTTTGCAGCTGAGTGGCAGGGTTGAGAGTTGGCACCTCCAAGTCTGAAGCCATGGTGCTATGTCAGAAAACGGTGGACTGTTCCCTCTGGGTTGGGAGTGAGTTTCTGCCCCAAGTGAAGGAGTTTAAATATCTCGGGGTCTTGTTCACGAAGGTAAATTTGAGCGTGAGATTGACAGGTGAATAAGGTGGTTTGGGCATCTTATTAGGAAGCCTCCCTTTGGAGGTCTTCTGGGCATTTCCAACTGGTAAGAGACCCAGAGCACACTGGAGAGCTGATATATCTCATCTGGTCTGGGAACACCTTGGAATCCCACCAGAGGAGCTGGAAAACATTGCAGCAGAGAGGGATGTCTCTATTACCTTGCTGAACCTGTTGCCACTGAGACCCAATCTTGGATAAGTGGAAAAAATGGATGGATGGATCATCGAATAGATTCTGACTAGTCAAAAATCTCTATAATATATCTGTGATGTCATTCTCTATGATTCTTACAAGTCTAAATGTCATTAGATTATCATACATGTAGTGCACGTACAGTATTTTAAATGTGAGTTCTATCACTCCTATATACTGTATGTTAAATCTGCTTGGCCTAGATGTTATGTTGGGAACAAAGTGTTACTCGTAATTTCACTTTATTTTCCAAGATTCCCACAGCTGAGAAGCATGTCACACAATTAGATCAAATTTCTCTTTGCTCACACAGGGTGTGACAAACGTTTGCATGTTTTGTAGTACAACAGATGAAGCCATTTTAACAGAGTTGAAGGCTGATATGTATTTTTCATTAGCCAGCTCATTACAGAGTTGTTCATATTCTCTCTTTAGTGATGTTCTGTCTGTTTCAGATAAATTATTTGACATTATACTCAAAACATAAACAGGCAGGGAATTAATGAGCATTCGAATGGAGGAACTGTCATCACTTTAGTTTCTGCTTCTCTGTAGCTCCCCTGCAGATGTTTAGGAACCATACTGGGGCCAAGTCATTTTTTATCAGTAAACCTTAATAATAAATTATTCACCAAATACATTATTCATTTTCTCATAGCTGAAGGGTTTAATCAAAAGTAGCACCCGTATTTCTCCGGTTTGTTCTTTTCAAATATATTTGCTGTTTAAGATATTTCTGAACAAAAATATGTTTTGTTCTCATGCCCGAGCATGGCACATATTTGTCCTGAAAATGATGTGCTTAATTATGATTTTACTCTCTTTGCCAATTGAAAATGGTATACAATGATAGTCTTCTACTGATTATATCTTTAATATTACTAATAATATCAGGAGCAGTGTGAGTTACAGTGCCTCAACAGAATAAATAGATTTTAACACTGTGATTGATACTTGATTCAGTTTCTAGTTCTTAAATCTTCAGGGAGCGCACAAAGGCTGACCTTGGCTCTGGCAGCAGGGACGTACCAGGACTAGTCTTACCTTCGAGGAGACCTGATGCTGTGTTCTCTTCAATAATCAGATAGAACAAGGCATTGTGTTGTATAGTTAGTAAACAAAATGTATTGCAAAATCAATGACAAGTAAAGAGAGGCAGTACATATCTGATGATCAGTGATTTGTTTGGCTCAATATAGAGGACATTTACTCAAGAAGGTGTTTACTTTCCATTTGTTATCCTCTGTGGCAACTATCTGTGTCTCTATAAGTAAAAGCAGATGAATAAAGGACATTTCTGATAAAGTTTTACATCTCATAAAAAGGACTACTTTAAGGCTTTTCAATTTGATCCAATGTGGTCTGGTTCACTTGACCTAATTTTGCAGATAAATGTGAACCTAGTGACTTGGTAATCTTCTGACTTCTAGTGCCACCATGAAGCTGATATCTGTGGTTCTGGGTGATGCTCTTGACAGCTGTTGGATGGATTGCCATGAAACTTGGTTCAGGGATGCCTTTCAGAATGAATTGTAGTAACTTGGGTGATCCTTTAACTTTGGTTTAATTGTAGTTTATTTGGAAGCTACAGAGAAACTGTTAGATTAGACTTAAAAACAGCAATAATGTCAAAAGCTGTGATTCCAGAAAAGAATGTTTAATGAACTGCTGAAAGCTGAGCGTTGGCTTTTAACCCTCCATCACTGCCACTTATTGTGCTTTACTTCACTAGTTTGCTGCCTAAGCTCCAGACAATGTGACCTTTGTTT